CTTCCATAACATCTTTTAAACACAGTCTATCTGTAGAGGCAGACACTCTTAAAATTAACTTCTGGGTCCATTGTTAAAAAATATCCTTCATTAAGTTCAGTGTTAAAATATTTTGCTTCATTCTGTAATTGTAAACCGAGTTTGAGTGTTGTTCTTTAATTGTAGTCTTTAGTTCCCCCTAGCGTCCAATTTTTAAAATCTTATTTTTCAAAACAAAAGCATTTTCCCACAGGAAGGATTCTTTATAATTAATTCCAAAATCTTATTTCAAATTTATCTGGACCCTTAGTCCATTTATAACTTTTTAAAATCAAAGTTTTAATCACCCTTTTGCTGTTTATTCCCCCCCCCCAAAATGTTTAAAGTCCTTAAATTTGTATTTAAAACTTCTTTCGCTAAGGATTGAAGGAAACTCACCCAGTGTTGTAAAATTTGTCAATCCAAAGGTTCCTAATAAGTGAAAAACTGTTAACAAGCAATTTCCAAAAGGGATTAGAAAAGGAAGTTTGCGAACCTAGTATCCTTTCAAAGGCACTGACCATGGTTTGAGCAAGATGGCTATTCCCTCATCTCCCAGAGCTCTAAACCCACCGGAGACTGCTATCTTGCGCGCTATCTGGAGCACTTGTGGGCAATCTCAAATCCTCTCCTTGTCCAGAGAGGAATTATTGAAGAGCCGGTCTATTCACCAGCTCTTCATTCTGTCATGGTCGTCGGCTCTGCTTTTTGCGGAACCATCTTCAGTCCACTATTTCTTCCCTGGAAGCCTCTACAGATTTTTTCCTATTGATATATGTCCTGTAATCTTTTAAACAGTCAAGGTGCAGAAATTGGGAAGAACTTCTGTGTTTTATTTCAGTGGTCAGAAAACTGCTTGTTTTCTACTCTATGACTCAGTTTCTTAGGCAAATATTTGAATTATTCATTTCTTGATGCATTCCTTGGAAAATACATGTGTATGGGTGCCAGGCAGCTTCCCCTAAAGCAATACCTAACACAGACAAGAAACACCTGCTTTTCTTTTGTTTGGCTCCCCAGGTACTGGAATTCCTTGAGTAATTTGGTGGCTTCCTTGCTCAACTCGGTGCGCTCCATTGCCTCCCTGCTGCTGCTCCTCTTCCTCTTCATCATCATCTTCTCCCTCCTAGGGATGCAGCTCTTTGGGGGCAAGTTTAACTTTGATGAGATGCAGACCAGGAGAAGCACCTTTGACAACTTTCCTCAATCATTGCTCACTGTGTTTCAGGTACAGTTTTATTGTAGTTTATTATTTTTTTTAAAATAATGCACACTTAAGTAGCAATATAACATGATTCTTATGTCTATACCAACCTGTACTAAGCTAAAAACTTACTTTTTAAAAAGATAATTAAAATTCATTAATAGCTAGGTCAATTTTTAAAAATCTTGCAACATTTCCTAAAGCAGGCAAAAAATAGGGCAAGGTGGGCTAGCTTAGGGAGAGAATTCCCATAACAGAAGGAGCACTTTTTGTAAGTGCTCTAGATCCTGACTGATCTTTTCTTAATAATTATTTATTTAACATTCAAAGAGGAGATAATGCCTGCAGACAGTGTGGTGTCTGATCACCACTAAAGAGTTGTAATCTTCTCACCAAGAAGGAAGAGAAAAATGATACTGAAGAGAAATAGACTGTCCCAAGGAAGAGAGCCCAGAGTGTAATTTAATTAATTTGCAGTAGTAGTCCTCTTTTTCCTGTATATAGGTGTAGAGGACTGCAGAGATAACTTTGAAGATGGAATGCATGAGTGGTTATCTAAACATAGGCTTAGTCCTGAAAGAGAGGAGAGAGTAAGAAAGAAACTCAAGATTGTCCCACCTTGATTTTCTTTATAATAAGAGAGGCAGAAAGAAACTCTGTCAGGCTTTCAAGATTCTGTTATTATATCTTGCAACAATAATGCTGAGTTCCAGAAGTCCTTGTGGAATCTGTTTCCTGACCTGGCCTACCTGAGAGGGCTGACAATGTGATATTTCTCTAAACTAGAACAATCTGCAGTTTGCAAGTGAGTCCTTGGATTACAATGCACATCCAAGGCTCTTCGTCAGACTATTTTCCATATTAACCTTAAATTTCTTCCTAGAGAAAATATTTCTCCCTGCCCACCCAAATTATATTCCTCTATGCCACACAAAGAGAGAGAGAAGGTGACAACCTACCAAGAAAAAGAAATGATTCTGCTGGGCAGGTATCCCCTTGTAACTGGCTGGAAAATGGCTGTGAGTGCCTGGCAGCCAGTAGAAGGAATAGCAGTATGAACCAGAAAGTATGCGTTGTCTCCTGCTATTTTCCAGATGTGTCCCAAATCAAATTTAAAGTTAGTTTATACTATGATATCTATGTTATAAAATGCCAACAGAAATATCACAAAATATTTTTAATGCCACTTAATGTATGAATGAACAAAGGCTATTCCTATATCAAATGTGGCTCCCCCAAGGCAAGGCTCCTTGACCCTACAATATTTTGCATCTCTCTAAATGACTGAGAGAATGGAATGGATGAGATGCATATTAAATTTATAGATGACATGAGACTAGGGGATTGGCTAATTCCTGAGAGGATAAAAACACAATCCAAAATTACTTTAACAAACTTGAACATTGGGTGAAATCCATCATATGGTGACTAACAATGACAGATGTAAGGTGCTAAATCTGAATAGGAAACATCAAATGCATAAGTACAGGATTAGGGAGACCTAGACTGGCAGCAGTTATTTATAAGAAAGATCTAGAAGTTATAGTGGATCACCAGCTGAACATAAACTCATTGTATGAGACAGCAGCAAAACAAAAACAAAAACATCAATACTATTTGGGGCTGAAACAACAGACGCATTGTATCTAGATCATGCGAGATAACAGTTCCATTGCACACTGATTAAAATTAAAGGAAAGGAAATCCATGCTGAATATTAGAAGTAATTTCCTAACAGTAAGAGATGCTAAACAGTAATCTGTCTAGAACTGTGCTGGAGCTCCCTTGTTGGAGATTTTCCAGTGGAGGTTGGATGACCATCATCAGAAGTTTAGTAGATTTATGGACTGAGCAGGGGATGGCGTAGCTAACCTATAACGTCCATCCAGTGCATACAGACTATGATTCTACTGCAGCATTTCTCAACCTTGGCAACTCTAAGAGATTAGAGGGACTTAATGATGGCTGGGGAATTCTGGGAGTTGAAGTCCATTAGTTACTAACGTTGAGAAACGCTGTTCTACTGTGTAGTCCTAGCAGCCTGAGATGTGGGATAAGGATACGTATCCCTATCCACCTGTACAGGACATCTTTCCACTTGTATCTTGGAATTCAAATGGAAATCTGAGTCAGTGCCTTTGGTGCTTACTGATCAGGTGGGATTCTTCAAGATAGAACAGGATGGAGTTCCTTCTTGTAACAGGCTTTTTTGCAGGTGTTCTGCATGCTGTCTAACTCTGTATCCCCCCATTGGTGGGAATGTGTCATTTAGATCCTGACTGGGGAGGACTGGAATTCGGTGATGTATGATGGGATCATGGCTTATGGCGGCCCCTCTTTTCCAGGAATGTTGGTCTGTATTTACTTCATCATCCTCTTCATCTGTGGAAACTGTATCCTTGGGTGTTTCTCTGTTGCAAGGAATTACTGTAGGGCAGCATCAGCAACTGATATGGTTAGGCACCTGTTGGGGCTCATATATGATAAAATGGTTCTTGTTCACTGAGGCTGCATCCTGCTACTCTTCTTCCTCTCTGCCACTCCTGCTACCTCAGCTATCCCTCCTTCTGGATCAGGGAATTAAAAACGTCAACACAGCAAGCAGAAAGAAAAGCAACCTTTACCTGCTAGCTTTCAACTTGACCCCCCGTCTTAGCACGGGCGGGGTTGGTTGGCTGGTTTGCCCTTCTTCAAGTGGGAGGATGGATAGGGAGAAAGTCACAAGGAGAACAGAAGTCCCTTGGATAAATTTCAGACCCATACGTTTCTTGGGGCATAGGTTTTCAAGGCCCACTGCCCACCATCAAATGCATAGGGTCATAAGAAGGAAACTTCTACTGAATCAGACCATTGGTCAATCCTAGTTTACTGTTTTTCCAGTATTTCAGGAAACAGAATATCCATTCTTACTTTGGGACAGTAGGAATTGGAACAGGGACCTTTTGCAAATGCTTTATTAATCTCGATTTGAGCCAGTTTTGTTTGTGTTCAGTCATTCTAGTCCATGTTCCTATTAATATGCAATTTTAAAAAAAATATGCACAACAATCCATATTTTAATGGTTTTCAAATGTGCTTTGGGATATACTTCCTCACTAAATATATGTGTGTATACAGTATGTATGTGTGTGCGTGCGTGTGTGAGTGCATGTATATCTATATCTATATAATCTATACATTTTTTAAAATGCATGATCCTAAAATATGCATTTTACATGCATATGTATTTAACCTGATCAGCTGATAGCTCCTTCCTACTAGAATGGAGCTTATTCCATTTTCCCCATACTAGAAGCTATGACTAGGTCGGTGCCTGACTAGGTGAAGCAAGCTTTGTAAACAAGGCTATGAAGTTATTTGATGAATTTACTTTTTTAACAATATACCTTGCTTCAATTTCCTGCTGGACACCCTGAAACTCCTATCTCCATTCCTAGCAAAACTGCTCCCACCATTAACAACTGCCTTTCCCTTCCTCAAAAAGAGGTTTTAATGCTTGTAGTAAGGGAAAGACAATCAGTTCTGCCTTACAGGAGCAAGGCAAATACAGCTAGCTATAAGCAGGACTGGGGATATCTTAATTCTGCTCACAGTATTATGTAAGGACCATGTCTTGAGCACTTTTTAAAGAATGCATTTCAGAACTTTAGGAAAGGTATATTCTACTGACCATTTGAAATTAGCCAAGTGCTATCTTTTTCTCCAGTGGTGTAGATATCATGTGTGATAGTTTTGATCTAAGGAAACTAACTTTTACTTAAATATTGATTCTTGATTAACATTTTGATGTGGCCTCAGCAGTGCATTCAGCAACATTGCTGTGTCTGCTATTCTTGGTGAAATATATGAAGTAATTTATGCTCTCATCCTTCTAATTATTAATATTAATTATGTTACATATCACATTTGGTACATTTTGAGTATCATGTCAGAGGCTCCTGCTTCACCGATATTCACAGATATTTTCTTTAAAGAATATACAAATAGATATCTTGCTGAATGTCTTTTTGGCCATTGCTGTGGACAATCTTGCTGATGCCGAAAGCTTGACATCTGCTCAAAAGGAGGAGGAAGAGGAAAAAGAAAGGAAAAAATTAGCAAGGTAAACTTTTGTCTATTTGGCATTAAAAATGTTCATTTTTTTTTCAAGAGGGTAAAAATATGTCCAGAACAAGAGCTTCTTATACCCTGTTAGGTACTCTATTTCCTAGCTAAGGTTATAGAAGGTCTAGAGGGAAAGAAGTATATTTCACCAACAGGATTCAATTTATTCTAGGAAGCCAACCATACAGATTGCAAAATTCACAATCAACCATTTGGGCTCTCTAGGGACCAATGTCAATCACAGCTACAGTACATGTGAGCTCCTTTGGGTTGAACAATAAAAATCAGAAAAGCTGGAATATATATATATACCCTGGGTGCCTGTTGCAAGTTCAGGTAGTTTTTGCACAGCCTGAAGTGGGGTTGGGAACATTGGCTTGGAAACTAATATAAATTAAGAAAAGGAGAGGGGAGTTATTTTCCTTGCAGCCTGAAGATCCTCTGCAGATAATTTGCGAAAGAAGCCTCTCCTGAACAAAGTAGAACTGATTAGGATAACTGCCGGAAAGAGGATGACAAACTATCCTTCTGTTAACTTGCTAGATTATTTTAGGATGCAAATTTTATGTAAGTTCAGCAAGCCCCTGATTATTAGTATTACTTGTTGCTAAGAAGAGCAAATGTTAATGAAGATAGGAAAATACAGTTGACACGTGGGCTTGTCTATGGGGCTGTCTACTACTCAAGGAAGTCAGTAACGGCAAACCCAATTCATTAGTTTATAAACACTTTGATTTTCCGTGTCTGCTAAATCGGTAGAACTGCTAGTCCTGAAAAAAAACAGGAGCCTGAGAAGCCGGCTGTGGAGGGAGAGACAAAGGAGGAGAAAATTGAGCTGAAATCAATTACAGCGGATGGAGAATCTCCGCCTTCTAATAAGGTTTGTTGCTTTCCAATATCCAGCTTGCTTTGAGATAACTATTTTTATGAATTAATGAATATGAACAACTAAAGAATGGTTGTTTTCTTTCTGCCAGAGCAACATAGATGAATATCAGCCTAATGAAAATGAAGAGAAAAATCCCTATCCTACTGCAGAGACACCAGGTAATTCGATGTCTTGCCCGCTTACTTTTGGAGGCACCGGGGGTATCCTCAGGGAGGGGGTCAAAAGAGACAAGATGGCAGCCACAACTGTGTGATTGAATCTCTGCTCTTTTGAACATGCAGATAAAACAGTGATGGGGCTTCAATCCCACAGTTGTGGCCATCTTCTTTACTTTTTCACCGCCCCCCCGACACCCCTGGAAGCAGTGGAAGGGAGACTGGGGTAAGGCATGTTTGCCTCACCCTGTTATCCCTCTAAGGCACCCAGACATGCACTACACCCATGCCAACAGATCTTTTTCTTGGTAGACATCCAGAATAGCTAATATGGTCCAGGTTTCAGGTCAGCCACACATCCAGGCCACAATATATTTCTTTCACATTTAAAAGGAAACACCTTTATGTTTTATGTATGCCCCTACCCAAGATACACACTGCATGGTATTTTACAGGTGATCACGTTTAGGCAGCGTCACAGTGATGCGTGAAGTTCTGCTGCCAGAATGAAGTGGAAATTAAACTGATCTGAACAGATTTGTTAATTTTTCTGTTCTTCCAGCCAGACAGAGAGGGACAGAGTTGCTGTTCAGAGTATTGGAAGCTACTACCCTATTTGTCTTTGTATTTGCAGGTTTAAGATATAAAAAAAAGAATCCTTCTTTGCTTCCACATAAAATCAAGAGTCACAGGATATTTATTATTTTTCAACAGGTCTGATATGAACCAAGATTACTTTCTCTACTGATATTTATCTGTTTGAGCTTCACTGTGCCTACAGTTTTCATTCCATTTTAAGAAACTTGGCAAATGGCAATTGAGGGCTTGTATTCATATTAACATTTGATCTGTAGGGTAAATATTTGAACATGTTTCAAAATTTCAGTTTGTTGTGAACTGGCTAGATGTCCCTAGTATAACTCAGAAGATTTGTCTTTTTGAGTTGGACATCTAGTAGTGCAATTAATGTACAGGTATATTTTGATCCCCAGATCAATTAGTTTAGTGTAATCTAATGTATGGATACATTTTGACCCCCAGAAAGTTACGTGTCAAAAATTCTGATTTAGTTTGGAAGCCAATTCCTTACTCAATCGTTGACTTGGAGCACTTCTATACAGGGTCTTCACAGTAACTCAGAAGTAGTTGAGTCAAACACATGATGGTATAAGGGACTACTCCTCAGCTGTGGTGCATTCTTCTCATTTGCAGTGCTGAAGCTCTGCATAGCTTATGGTCATTTTCTTGTTGGTGGGAATTTGCCTCATCTGGGTTCCGGGGCTCAAGTCACTCTCCTTTCACCATAGAGATTCAGTTGCTGGAGCATTACCATGACTCACTGTAATTTCTCTGGACTTGCTGCAACTGAGAGATAGTGCCTTGATGGCTTTAGAGCTCTTTTCATAACGACTGCTTTTTTAATTTTTGGAACTCGTTGGGCAAATGTATAGAAGACAAATAATGTGATGGTGGGGCAAGGCACTGACTGATCTACTGGTCCTTCAACCTCCCATTGGATAGCTGCAAGAAAGAAATTATTGGTTCAGGTCAGCAGCAGTGGAAATGATCATGACTCATGTTCAGTTTGCTTCTGATGGTTGGGCAGTGAGTGACAGGGCCATATTTGTACAATGTGTTTAACCAGGTTGGGGAGGTACTGTGCAGATGGCTAAATCCAATAATCGCTGAGTTTAGAAATGATTAGGTTGAACTCCAAATAGCTCTGTGGCAATTTTGGATCTAACCACCCTTTGGTCAGCCTTGTTATCTGAAAAAGGACAATAGGGTGAATAGAGAGTTAATCCTGTCATCTGTGTGCCAGAATGGAGGTGAAGTCCTAGAGCCCCTCTGCAGAAAAGGATTTCACCAGACACTCCATATTTTATTTTTTATTTCTGCAGAGCCCTACCAAAGAGTGAATTAGGAGCAGAAAAGAGTGGGTGTGGGTGAACTTTCCCTCTGAGTACAATACTGCTGATGCTGATCAAGCCACTTCTTTTTTAATCCCAATAAGTTTTTCAAAACTACAGGAAGGAACAGCTTTCCATCCCTTTCTACTACAACTGGGAGAATGTCAAAAATGACCACTCCTCATTTGACTAATATATCGTAGGCTGTTGATGCGCAAGAGTGTATTTAAACCTAAACTTTTCTTCTCCAGTTTTCCCTTCCTTTAACTGCTTATCTAGAAGGGAAAGGACAATTTTGAGCTTAAAAGTCATTGGAGGGGAAGGGTTGACATCTACTCATCTATGACTCAGTTTCCGAATGTCCCTCTTGGTCTCTTCTTCAAATATCTTGTTCAGTAAATCTTACAAAAAGAGAATTAAAATTGCTATCTCCTGTTAATCTTCATAAAGGCCTGACTTGTATTTGTGTGTTCAGTGGAAATAGGTAACAAGGTAGTATTGACTAAAGCTATTGTATCTTTTTTTCTCCCCACTAGAATCATTGGATTTTTGGCAGTCTTCCCCCACTGAAACTACTTAGGAAACTCCTCTAGGAAAACAGAGTTTTTATTTTTGGGGTAAAAATATAATTAGGTTCAGGAAAGCATTGGTCAGTGTTCTAAAAGGTAGACTGTATTCAGTTCAGCATCAGCACAGAGAGTTGATTGCCCTGTTCATTCACCATGATTCAGTGGGGTGCCTTGTTTTTATAATGTAAAACTAAATCTTAGTAAAGCTTCAGAGGCTTTGATCTCTGCCTTGTCTTTGATGAAGATTGTGTTGGTACATAGATACAGGGGAAAGGGAGTTCTCATAGAGGAACCACAACTGGAAGCTTTTAATCTTATTGTTCAGCTCTATTCATTTGTAACTTTAGTTTTTATCTGAATAATAATAGCTTTTATTCTTGTATCAGCAAGCTTATTGTTAAAGACCCAATATTCCATTAAGCAGTGGAATTGTCATTTATTAGAGGTCTGGAAATTCAATGGATATTTAAGATTTCCAACTAGTCTTATCATGTTTTGGACTCTTATCTCTGTTTGATCACTTCTTTGATGCTCAGAAAATTCTTGTATCCGTTTGCCAAAAACAGTTATTAATAATAATGTTATTGCCTGTCTGTTTTTAAGTTCATCTCTCTCTTTGATCAGATCCTGTTTACGTCTGGACTGCTAGTTCTGACATAAAGGTTTATAGCTCTCCTGCATCTGGCTTCACCACTGAGAATGTAATACAAGTGGTATAGGCATAGTCCCCATAGCCAGAGAGAGAAAGAGGCTTTCTTTTTTGGATTTTGAAGTTCCAGATGTATATAGCTCACCTTTCCACCATAGCTGCTGAACTACTGCTTACCTGTATCCTCTTGCAACTTAGCAAGATCTACTTCTTTTCTTCAGAGATAGAGATGAAGTCCATAATGTTACATCCCATAGTGCATTCCACTGAGCCGTTTATGGATGCATATTCCCCCAGATTCTTTTACTAATCTTTTTTGGTTTTGCTGTCTTATCTTTAAACTATCTATCTTTCATTCTCATCTGATCTGCTTAAACAGCCAACCTCTTTAAAGATCTAAAGTGTAAATTCTCACTGTGGCCAATGTAGCTGTACTACTAGTAGGTCCTGCAGACACTTATAGTGCAACTCCTCAAGCTGCCTCTTTGCTTTTTGCAACGGCCACTAAAGAGCTCAGCCATGGAAGGAAGCTTCTTGTCAGGAGATAAATTATGATGATGTTAGAGTGGCTACAATGAGAATTTACACTTTAGATCTTTAAAGAGGTTTGCTGTTTAAGCAGATCAGATGAGAATGAAAGATAGAAATCATCTTACAGACTAGAAGAAAAATACAAAGGCAAACAAGGACCAGTACTGGGACCGGCACTTTTTACCAGCTCATATATTATCTAATCATCTAACTGATAATCCTAAATTGTTTAGGATGGTCAAAACAAAACAAAAAAATGAACAGCAAAAAGCTTCAAAATAATCTGCCTAAATTATCTTGAGTCTGTTGGAGTGGGTGGCTATCATAAATTTAATGAACTCATAATAAATAATAAATTGAAGAGACAGACCTTGAGATGGCAGATATAAGTCATAGATGTATAGATGTTCCTGAGATTTGAACAGGCAATGAATGGCCTAAGAAAAGGATCTTGGGTTGTAATGGTAGTTTAATGAAAATGCTGATCCAGGCTGTAGCTATTATGGAAAAGGCAAATGACAAGCTGAGATCGCTCAACTAAAACTGAAAACAAAGTTGACAATTTTATACAGATCTTTTGTGCAATCCGAGTTGGAATCCTGTGTACATCTGGTCATTGAAAAAGGTTCAGAAAATAGCAACCAATTCACTAAGGGACTGGATTAACACTCTTCTGAGGAAAGGTTGTAATGTTTGCAGCTCTTTAGATTGCAAAAAGAGTGAGTACATAATAAGTATTAAAACAAATTGAATAACAAAGATTAGAGCAGGAGCCATAAACTTTTCCCAAATAACCAGCTATCAATCCTTAAAACAATTGTCAGGTTTCCTCTTTTAGCTAGTTCAAAGCTGTCTGGGTCCCAGACACTCAACACAGCATGGCAAAGTTAAGAATCTTCATTGCAAACTAGACTGAAACCACAAAAATAGTTGATTGCTGTCTGCCAAAATATGGATGCAGTTCCATACACACTGCAATTTAAACCCAGCACTTCTTTCTCCTGCCTTTTCCAAGGCTTTATTGACATGTTGCTTTGCATTTCTTGCAGTTAGTATGAGGTAAAATATTCTGCAGGTCAGGCCTGGGGAGCTCCTAATCCTGATATGATTCCCACACCAATTTGCTGAAGCAAAACAGAGATATTTCTACTGCCCATTAGAAGCTAAACAATAAAAGGGATATTTTGACCTTCTTCAGGAAGGAATTCCATAATGGGGATGCTGCTACAGAAAAGCCTATCTCTTGATGTTGGGACAGACACCAAGGCCTCAGACAAAGATTGAGAGGTATGGGAAAACTTATACTGGAGATGGTGGTTTTTAGGCAACCTAGCCCTAAGCTACGTAGAGGTTAATAGGTAAGAATCATGCCTTGAAGTAATGGAAGATAGCAGAACTGTTGAAATGTAATCAGAAGCATCAGAAAGTGATACAACTGCAGTATCCTGTGCAGATGCAGATCCAAACCAGCTACAAGGGTTGCCTCACAAAGGTTATATTGGATAGCCTATAGCCCCTAAGGGCTTATCTGTGCTTGAAGGTGCACTATACCCAAAAAAGGAGGACTTTTAAAAGATAAAGTGGACAATTTAACAGAAGTTCATAGCAACTATTCTTCTTTTGAAATGCGTCACCTACAATAATCCACCTAGACTAATAGGGAGTAAATATAGACATCATCACAATGTCCTTTAGTTCATAGGTATCCTTTGTCTAAAAGCAGCTCTCTGCTGATTTTTGGTTCCTTAGATCTTTTGCATATTTTCCCACTTTGTTTCATTACTAAAAGCTTACTTTTTATAATCTGGAATAGTAAAACTGTCAGAGAACTTCAGAAGTTAACCCAAAGTATGCATGGACATATATGAACCATTTCTGGTTTTGCTGTTGCATTACATTGCCTCTAGATGAAATGTTTTGCCCATGTTCTGGTGGGCTATAATCCAAAAGGTTTTTTAAAGTCTCATTTGCTTGACATTCTTTGTTTTGCATGCAACATCCTGCTCTTGGGGCAGCTCTCAACAATTTGTACTACAATACAAGAAGGAAAAGGATTGTCCTGGCAGATAGTGATACTCTTTGGAAATTTCAGGGCTGTAGGGTAGGCTGGAATGTTGAAGAAAACCATCTCGATAGTTCCCTTCTCACTGGTGCCAAGAAAACTCCATGGATGTGTCTAAAAGACTATTCTTCTCCCTTTCTGTGCAATTACTACATAGCTGAAATTCAAAGATGAGCTGGTTCACCCACGTCTATTATTTAAAGACATTTGCTTTTAAAAGGGAAAAAAAAAGACGCAAGCATACAGTTATTGTTGAATTGCTAGCTTTTGGGATTGCTGGCAAAGTAGCCATGTGGTCTGTTAAACACACCATGATTCTGGACCATCAGGCAGAATTTCTGTTTAACTAATTACCAGAATGGCAGTTCTGGAGTATATTGTTGAATCTTGTCTGTATTATTGTTGCTTTGCTCATCTGATTCTGCAGGTGCTCAAAATGCTTAAAATGTTTGCTCAAGCCTTTCCTGTATCCCTCCTCCCCCACCCCCAGGCCATTCATGGGACTGTTTTGGCATTTCTCCCTTGAGGGGTATTCACAGATCTCCACAGTGCCTGGAGCTTTCCTTTTTGAAGAATTTTGTTCAGAAGTTTCTGCTTTTAAATTATTTTTCTTGCCTAAATTCTAAACAAGCAATAATTCCAAGATTTTTTCTTTGTTTTTCTTTTCTTTATTCCAAGTATCCCTCCCACGGGGATATTCTGTGCAGTATTTAGTGGTCAGTTGTTTGTTCCATTCAGTATATATGGATTTTAAAGAGTTGGAAGAAATCAGTGGCTATCGGGTCTAGAAGCTTTCTAGATAACTCCATTCACAACATGTTGCACTCAGAGAGTACATGCACTAAGTTATATAAGTATAAAAATGCAAAATTCCATAACAGAATTGCTTTATGGGATCACAGCTTGAGTCCAGCTAGGATAGTATTCTGTCTTCAGCCATACTCTTTTAGAAGCTCATAGCCAAGTCATATATAATAGAAGAACCTCCCAGTATCCACCAATGCAGATGTGATGGAGTTGGTGGACTGGCATATTTGGGGTGCTGTCAAAGCCCATATTTCAACACAGGGCTTCCTGCAAATTCTTGGGGTTTCTTGGCCCTGCTGTTCTGGTTTGATGTTTCCTGTTCATACAAACACACACACACACACACACTTTGTAAGCAAACAAGCAATGAGAAAGGCAAGTAGAGCAGTAACTGTAAGTAAGAGAAGTAGCATGTACTTCTCCTTCACTTACAGTGTTATGTAGGTGTGTCTGTGCCTTATGTTCACATTTTAAGCACATGAACACTACATATTTCAACACATATGCCCAGTGAGCACATTTTGAAAAAATACCACCAATAAGGTGTCTCAGATATAAAAGTGTCTCCAGAGTAGACCCTGACATGATGAAGAAGGGCCTTCTCATAAGAGCTTCTCTCTTCCCTCATGCCTTGAAGCCAATGCTGTTTGTTCTTGGTAATATGGAAACATTATCCAGGCTAAGGATTTCTCAGTGATGGCTCCCTTGTGAGAACCATTTCGCTGATGCAAGAGTGTTATTCCAGAAACTTCTTGTAATGAAGCATATGCTTGCAGACACATACACAGGGATGTCTCAGGTTGACCCCTCTGGTTTCTTCAAGCAGGCACCCTCAAGTCCTTCCCTCACAATCCCTACTTTTGCAGCCTCTTAAAACTCTGGGGGGACAGGGGTTGTTCTATCAGATCTCTGCCATACCACTCTTGACAGGGAAATTTCCTCTCTGCATATTTGTCCAGGAGAAGAAGAGGTTCTTTTTCTTCTTCTTGTCTTTCTGTAGCTAACAGAGTGGTGGGCTAAATTCCCTGTCAGAATGAGTTTATGGATTTCAGAATCAGACACAGGTGGTTGGTTATACAGATTAAATTTAAGGAGCTAATTAAGAAAAATAGACAATGAAAGAAAGAAAAAGGCACGTCTCTTGGATCCTGTAGGACAAAACAGGAGTAAGAATATAGAGAAACACTTCTGTACCCAACAAATCCATAGTATAGATTTAAAAAAAGATTCTAAATCTACTTGGCATTTTCCTAGAGGCCTAATTCCTTCTACTTCTCCAACCACTTCCCAGGTTGGGGCACATTTCTTACTTAGCAGAAGACAGAATGGAACTGGAGAGAGACGTTACCTCTTTTCCTGCTCCTGATTGGTTGCTCAATATCTGTGCTTCCCAAGCTTTGACAAACTGTGGTCTAGATTGGCAGATTTAATTTTGAATGAGTAATTATGTGTATCTGAACTCCTGTTTTCTCCTCATTCACTACACATAATGTTAAAAAGTTCCTTTTCTTGTGTTTGTTGAAGTTCGACATGAAAAAAAATGACTCTGCTGATCAGAAATGTTTGATTTTGAATTAAATATTTCAACTAGTGATTGATTTTATTTAATGTTTACAGTCTACTATGACAGGTAT